ATTCTCTATACAAAAATCCCAACCACGACATAATAATCTTTCTTCTACTTCTGAAAGTGTATATGATGAAATGTTATGAATTAATTTATGTTTCATTTCCTCGTAATTTTGTCCTAACTGACCTCCATGTAATGTTTCTAATTTCTTTTTATGATTTTTCATTACTTCTCTATGTATTTTGCTTGCTGAATTATAACAGAACTTTTTTACATTAATATAATCTAAACTCGAAAGACGTTTCTCTAATTCTATTAAGATTGATGATACTTGTTTTTCTAGTTGTCTCGATTGTTTCTGTCTAGATTCAAATTCACGAATAAGACAATTACGTTGAAAAGACTTATATTTTTCTGATGTTCTTAAACCTGGCTTCCATAAACGTATATTGAGAAAATTAGGTTTTAGATTATAGATTAAACAACATCTAAGAAATTCAATATCGCATTTTGCTTTTTGTAATTTTTCACTTAATTTTTCACAATGTCGTATACTTACCAAAATCGATTCGCCATATTTCAAACGAAGATTAGAAATAAATTTAGGAGAGAGAGCAGTAGGTAAAAGATAAGAAAAGAAAGAGAGAACTGCTGTGAAAATCATTAGAAAACCTTATTTCAATCAGAAATAAAAGATAGGGATTCGAGCTTTCGTGTTCGAACTGAACACATCATCAGGAATGACAATATAAAATCATTCATTGCATTTATATAACTAATGAAAAAAAAAAGAAAAAACATCAAAGTCATATATTAATACATAAGAGAACGTATATACGATCAAATGGTCAATATCGGTAATAACAATCAAAGAAACCGGCAACGTTTTTAACATGACACTTTTTTATGTTTTATTAAAGAGAAACATTGTTATATAAATATTTATCCAAAAACTTATATTATTTATATAAGTATTGTTTTCAATTAACCGATTCATTACATTACATCCCTTTCTTCATTATCCTCATTAAAATTGCAAAAATACTGAACTAACAAATCAAACATATCATGTATGCTTATTTTAATTCATTAAATAAGAACAAAAATAATTTCAATGAAATTCAACGTTCAGTTTTATTACACAAATATTATATATTCATTCTATTGGATATCATTAAAATTGAAAATTCATATCGATCCCAATGAATATTATAAACATTAANCATTTCACATACAACTAATTAGGTGCTCAATTGTCTTATTTTTCGGTGCTCTTTTCACACTTACCTAATTTGGTGCTCATTTCACCTTTTTTTTGTGCTCTTTTCACATACAACTAATTAGGTGCTCAATTGTCTTTTTTTTTGGTGCTCAAAACACTCCCCACCCATTTGATTTTGTACTGCTTTTATTCTTCCAAAGTTGAACTTTTTTAAATTTTATTTCTTCAAAGACAATTAGTCGCTCTCTTTGAAGATATCATTCACTCATTAAGCCATCCATTGCACATCGAAATCAGAAATGTATGTAATGTATAGATTGTTGGAAGGTGGCCGATCACTTGTCCAAATTGCTAGTCAGAGAAGATTATGTTACACACTTATGAACAAGAATGGAATGGAATGGAATGAATTATTGTTTAAAGCAGCAAGTATATATATATGTGAGAACAAGGAAAGGTGAAGAATTCTGTGGAAGATGATAAGGTCACCAGAAGAAAGAAGAAGACGAATACACACACATATATGTATAGAACAAAAGAAGATATAGATGAAATACATATGACGTCGTGACAAAGAACGGCAACATCCATATGTGTGGCAACCCCGGGTGAGCATGTTATGCACCATTATATGCTGTCACTGTTGTTTATATTGATTGTTTCTATTTGCTGTTCTAACTTATTATTGTGCCAAGAGCACATTATTCTGATATGATAAGGCAAATTGAGGTAGCATCAAGCCATGGACGTCCTTTTGCATGACATAATATTGAGAAGCACGTTGTTCTGACGTAACCAAATAATCGAGTTCACGACAAGCGAGAAACGTCCTTTTGTATGACACAATACCAAGGAGCATATTATCCTGACGTAATAAGGTTAATTGAGATTACATTAAGTGATGGATGTCCTTACAAATGACACCCCTTGTTCTCGCTTGATCAATACATAATCTTTTTCTGTATCTTTTCTCTCTCCCTTCTTTTTCTCTACTTATCTGGTCCACTTTTTCTCTCCTCCCTATTCTCTCTCTAGTATATAAGCCCGTGTTGTATGTGAGATACGGGAAGGGTTAGACATAACACTTAGAGATATTCATAGTTGTAGTTGAGTGTGTTTGAATAGAGTGTTATCTCAACAGTCTTGGATACACCAATACTCTGTTACGAGACGTAATCCATTGCCGTACCACGAATCGAAGATATATATACCTCTTATGCTTTATTGACCCATACCTCTTATTAAAATAAATTATATTACATTTACGTAATTTATACTTACATACCTATAAATATATATATCGGTACTAAATTCGTTACAACTGGCGACCCTGAACGAAACGATATCCTCGCAATTTTCTGATTGAACATCTAGAAGTCTTATGCAAGTTCGAAGCCTAAACCCTGGCACGAGAACCTAGAGTGTTAATGTACCAACCTCTTGATAATTCGTTACTACTCGCGATTCAAACTGGCGAATCGTGGCAAATGTAACATCAATATCTTCTAATCGAAGTAATTTATATCATTGCAATAATAATCTTGATTCAACATCGCATTAACATCAACAAATTTAAACGAATTATATTATCTGTACGTGACATCAACGATTATAGTGAAGATGCGAAACGGTGAAGAGGATGCAGGAGCGGTGACACTGCTGAGAGGGACAGTTATATTATCGAAATACAGCGAATGTTCTAAGGACGGCGATGCCCACGCCGTAATGCATAGTCCCAATGCATTTTCCTTGTAATATCTGAACATCAATCGCTGTACTGTCCTCAATCCCATTACCATCTCGTCTCTCACTTGTTGTTGAAACCATCAAAATGAAAAATAACAGCCATTTTATGATGTTGATGTATGATTCAATAATGAGACTGATGGAGAGGCTACGAGTTGAAAGACATGGCATTGTCGGATTGCGGTAACGACAGTGTCACAGAACATCAGTGGACGTACTTAAGGACGGCTAGTCGTGGGCCGATAGTGCAAAAGTCGTGTGCACTTTTCCTATTTAACATCTATACGTTTCATGTCTGTTTATCTCAACTCTCTCCAACTTTTCTCATTTAAACCAAATTCTTTGCTGCATTTATTAAGACAAAATCGATGCCAATGGTACGACAATGCTCTATCCAGAGAAAAGAAGAACATGGCTGAAGAGAGAACAAATCGAGAACAAGAATGGCATTGAAACAAAGAGAAGCAGACCTGAACAGTAAGGGAGAAATAGAGAAAAGTGAATTTTTTTCTTTGTGTCATATACAAGATAGACTAACATGTATTTGTGTTGTTTTTTTTTGTGACGAAATAATGGTGTATAAAGATAGAATATCGCATGAATGGATGTATTCATGAATATCCTGAATCAGTACTATTGGTGCTGGATTTTTTTCCTTTTGTGGTTTACGAAGTGCCTGTGTGGGGCTTAAAATAAGTCGTTTTTTTAAATCTATGTTGTCGTGAACTCAATTCTATTACGGGTGAGTGCAATAATTTCAATTTTTTGTACACAGTCGTGTTACAATGCGTTCAGTGTATCCCAATTTTTTCACCTGTCGTATTCTCTATTACCATCTTCGATCATATAGACGCTCAGGAGCGCGTCTCAATTGAGGGGGATGATGTGTCGATAGGCACAATGCGTTTACAACATATCATCCTTGTACGAAGTCATCAATGCTATATGTCATCCTTGCATGATATCGCCCTTGTACGATATAACCTTCGTAACTGATGAACTCTCGTTTTTGTTTGGTGTTGTAATATCTTTCTCGCTTTCTCTTTCGTAACCTTGCGCGTTCTATGCGAATATTTATGTCCTGTCTTCTCTTGCGTAACTTCGAACGTGCTATACGTATATTTCTATCTTCTCTTCTCTTGTGTAACCGAGTAATCTAGTGTATCTACTATATAGGAACGTGTAAAAGAAAAGAACAACACAACATGATAATGTAGTAGTGGAGTTAACATTGTACACCGAGAATAGCGGTAACGCTACTCTTCCAGTTTGTCATTGTGATCACAATAAAATAAATGCTGTAGCAGTAACGAAACAAACAATCTCTTACAATTTTTCGTTACAATTATATCATTCATTGTTACCTCATATGTTACCCTTTCTTCTTACATTTTCATCTATTGCTAACTACCATATCGTTTGTCTATCACTCATCATGTTCAACATAACCTTATGCGCTGTATAAGGATGTATCACTAATGATTTTATCTTATGCTTTTACTGTTCTTGTTGATATTCAATGATTGTTCTTTTTTCTTTCTCTCTATAATATACTTCATCTCCCTCTCTCGTTTGACTCTCGCTATATAAGGAGTGAACGAGAAGGAAGAGAGGCATTCTTTTGGATAATAAATTCAAGAATTGTTACAATATGCATCATTAGTAAACATAGTTAGTAGAATATAGATATGGCGACGTTTATATTTTCATGTGTGATATGAATTTTTTTGTTGCGTTGCCTATTTATAAACCAATCAGTACAGTAGGTTTATTCTTGAAAAAAAAAGCAACAAAGAAAGTTTAAGATGTTGACCTATGACAATGTGGACACGTGACACCTTAAGTGCGTTCATAATAAAAGAGCAAACAGGACAACGAAGTCGTAATATAGGTGAATAATAAACGTAATATGTTTCTTTCTTTCAAAGGTTTTTCTTTTCTTTTATGAATAAAAGTAACAAAATCCAAAGAAAAAACATTCAGTCCAAAATCGATGATAGAAAACGAATTTGATTCATCATTCATTTTCTTTTTTTTTCGTTTCATTTAATTATTCTTGTTGTCTAACAAATATAAACTAATTATTCATTATTTAGATGTCCCCGTTTAAAAAGAAACCAACAGCTGATACAGCTGTTGTAAGTGGTGGTGATTCGTCTATGTTTGATATAACACTTGATCAACTTAAAGAACTTATGGAATTACGAGGAAAAGATTTAATGGAAAAACTTAATTCATCTGAATATAATGGTGTTAAAGGAATATTAGAAAAGTTAAAAGTTGATGGTAATAAAGGTCTTGATTCAAATAATCAGCAAGATTTTGAACAACGTCGTACAGCTTTTGGAAAAAATGAAATACCACCTAAACCAACGAAAACATTTTTCCGATTATGCTGGGATGCACTTCATGATATGTTATTAGTTATATTATTAATATGTGCTGTTGTTTCAATTGGTCTATCATTTTATAAACCACCTAAAGAAGGAGACGACGGAAAAGAAGATGAACGTGAGCATAACATAACACAACATAACATCTTTTGAACTTTATCTAAATAGATGAATAAAAGAAGAGAATGCCGACTGATCTTTTTGATTATCAAAATAGATTTGTATTAATCATAACAAATGTCGTTATTAATGATTCATTTGTTAGCACACTTTTTTACTTCGCTTCTTTTATTTTAATTTCATCATTATGTATGCAATAACCTCTGTGCATAAAACCTTTTTATCCTTGAAAATTTTCTTAAAAGGTTTACATCAAAACACGTTGACGAGTTTCATAGTTCGCGTTCTTACAGTACACTAAAAGAACAAATTATGTACAAACGTCATATTATATTACTAATGCAAACTAATGTTTGGACAGAAACGCAAAATCAAACTAATTATAATAATAAAACAGACGTCATTGAATACGAAAGAATAAAGAAAATATAGTATTTACATCAAGGATTGTAGTGAAGTCATGTTTTTATATTGGCTAAGCGTTACATAAAGATAAAAAAAGCTATATTCGATTAGGGTTATATATTTGCATACATTGATAAAAAGATCTATTACAGAATTTAAACTGGATAATGGAAACATAATTTTGTTTTTGTCTCTCTGTCTACTTTTGGTAAAGAAAATAATACAATAAAGATACAACAGATGTTTATTTGACTGAGAATATATTCATTTATCATATAAAAATGAATTAAATTATTATTTTAAGATTAAAACTAAAAGAACATTATGACCTAATTGATTTTATTTTATCTATGAATGATATAACAAATAACCTCAAAAACCTTTTTATTAAATCTAAATAAATAAATTTTATTTTAGCAAATATTGAATGGATTGAAGGTGTAGCCATTCTTGCTGCTGTTCTTGTCGTTGTATTTGTAACTGCATTCAATGATTGGCGAAAAGAACGTCAATTTCGTGGATTACAAAATGAAATTGAAAAAGATCAACAAGCATCTGTTATACGAGATAATCTTATAAAACAAATTCCTATTGCAGAACTTGTTGTTGGTGATCTTTGTTTTATAAAATATGGTAAAAATGATATATTAACAATTCATTTCTTAGTTTTTGTTTTTAATAAATATCTTCTTTTTTAGGTGATCTCGTACAAGCTGATGGTTTGGTTGTTCAATCAAGTGATCTTAAAATTGATGAATCATCTATAACAGGTTCATAGACTTATTTAAATTTTGTGAAACACGATCTAAAAGGAATGTTGAAATATAGAGATAAAAATTTGGACCATCCCTCCACCGCAGGTATTTAGGCGAATATTAGATGAAAACTTGAAAGTGTACTTTCTGATGATTTAAATAGGGCTACATATTTTCTGACCTATGAATTAATTATTTAATGACATAAAAGTCTTTGTTCCTTTTGTTAGCATTAGTCCGAAAACTTCGTTGAAAAGCACCGCCAGTAAGCATTAGGAACTGTTTTTTTCTGTAAAATAAAAACATATGGAGAAAACATCCTCGAGGAAATTATATATAATCTATGACTGTGTTTTTCATTCTATCGATTTGTAAAGAAAACCTTCGTTTTAATCTATTTGGAACTCGAGAAAAATCATTCTTCTTTTGTATTGAATGCTTTTACGGAAACATGTGTTCTGTATAATGACCTCGCACAATTTTCCACCACTCGAAATTGGACTAAACTTCCATAGAATATCTCTGAACCCATAACACCAATATAACGTTAGCGCGAATCAACGTGAGCGTTCTACAGCTGAGCTATAGGTTTTTAAGATAAAACTCATTTTTCTCGACATAGAAACACTTTCATTGAAGACTACATATTTAGAATCAGCATCGAACGATGTATAATTTATTAGTCTTCTTGTAAAAAGAATTTTTTCACGTATATAAAGGGTAAGAGTCTTTCACAGTGATTTTTCAATAAAAAAACGTTCTTCTTATCGGATTTGACTTTTTCAGATTATCTTGACATTTGAGAAGTGATAAAGCAATATTGAGCACAAAATAAAGTCTTTCTAAGCCCAGAAAACACATGTCCGCCTGGTCTATGAAAAAATGCCCAGAGACCATCACTGATCGTGACAAACATTGATATACGATGATAGACCGTATATGAATAACGTCTCGTTATAATATAATAACTAAAGCCATCGACACATTAGAAGACCTCGGGTCTTCTATTCTGTCTTATCGTTCACAAGTTACAAAGGGGGTCTTCTCTTATGTCCTTTAAAAAAGTCATATTTTTGCTACCCTCAACGCTATAATTTTTGAAAAAGTCTTTTTATGCTGATTATGTTGCTACCAAACGTTTATTTCATTTTTCTACGCTAGTACAGCTAACAAAAACAGTTTATATTCTATTATAAATAACATTTCACAAAATGGGGATCGCTATTATAAAATGTGCTAAATTAGACAAAATACGATTAATGATACTTCATGATAGGCACATTTTTCACAGAATAAAAGAACTCACTCATAAAATGCTATTATTTCATGCGATCAAATAGAAAAAGCAATTGAGCTTTCGATTTTTCGGAATGTCCTTCAAGATCAGCTTTTTGTATTGAGTTTTCATGGTTGAACTTGTCATTTGTTCATCTCTTTCTGAATCAGATTCTTGATCAATGTGATCAGGATCGATATTTAACGGCAGTAGATTAAGAATTTGTGACTAGATCATAATCCATAAGAGATTTTTTATGCTTATTCAGTTATGAAAACAATGATATAGTTGGCTGTTCGTGAAAAGATAAAAATATAAATGAAAAATAACTGAACTAGGTCATAACAGACATTGTTTTTCGCATGCCGTATACTTATATCTTTTAATTACATTTTATATTATTCAAGTACAGGCCACCTCGAACGTCAGAAAGAGTAGAAAAATATTTTTGAAGCAAAGCTTAGCAATACATATGAGTGAATTGCAACTTTTTGGTGCCATTGAGATTTTAGATGTACGTAGGGCGTTCAAAAAGTATCCGGACTGGTTTTATTTAAAAACAATAAGAAGCGCTGCTGTATTTGTTTTGTTACCTGTGTGTAGTTCATAGTCCTCTATCCATAGACATAATAACCTCTGTTGAATTAAACGTATATATGAAAATATAGAAATACATTTGAGATCACTGTTTATACACTGACAGAAAAATCAAAATTTTGAGCATCGCTCAGTGATTAAATCTCTTGTTTTGTCAGCCCATGATTTATTTAATATTTATGAAGATATAGTGATGATTTATATCGATGGATTCTCTGCTTTTTACTGCAGCTTCTGAATAGGATCGTTATTTCAAAGATGGATTACTATTCATTGATAATAATCTACATGTGAATAACATAACTATTAAAACTTGTAAAGTTCTGATGATCGAATATAGTCAAATCGTACCTGAGTAAATAGCGAACACTGTTCACATTTCAAATGTACGGTATACAACATTTTACTGATCAATTATATAAATGACTAAAGTCACTTGAAGAAAATAGCACATTCTCAGACATAATGTTAACGATGTATCGACTATATCTAAAACTACTATTGATAGTTAGTTATTCGCCTTTACACCGACGAGTTCATTCAAATATCGTAGTATCTAATACAGCATTACTACTGTAAACTGTCACCATGTATTCATAAATATGGAATGGAAACTAGCCTTGCAAAACATAAAACTTTGCTTAAGTTTTTAGTTTTTGGTCAGTGTATAAACAGTGATCTCAAATATATTTCTATATTTTCATATATACGTTTAATTCAACAGAACTTATCATGTCCATGGATAGAGGACTCTATGAACTGCATAAGACAATAATACAAACACAGCAGCTTTTCTTCTTGTTTTCAAATAAAATCAGTCCGGATACTTTTTGAACGGCCCTCGTATTTGGCTAATAACTTTTGTTTCCGTTAATCGATTTTGACAATTTTTTGTATGTTACTACAGCCTCTGAGTGTCCCATTGCCATACCTAATTTCAGCTCTTTAGCTCATAGTGTCGCTGAGTTATGAGCCGTATACTGTGAAAAAATCGTATTTTATAATGAGATGTACTAAAAAAAACGAAATTTTTGAAACATCGAAGGAAAAGAAAAAAAAGATAATGAATAGTTAATTTTGCAGAGCATGAAATGTTCTGTCGAAATATATATCTTCTTCGCTTGTATCCTTTTCTTTCTAGTCTTTCGTCTGCGACACTCTATGGCAAACATTTTGTCATTTTTGTGTAGAAGGACACTTTACTTCAATTTTCCTCTAAGGCACACAAGTTGAAGGAAAACGAGGGGATCCAAAAAGTGAAGAACTTGATTATCACACATCTGACAAAAAAATCATTTCGTCTTAATGATTTTTTCTCTGAGAAAAAAACGACCTTTTTCTATAACATAGATATTCATTCATTTTGTAGAAGAACATTTTGAAAATTATAGTGTAAAATAACTCGTGAACGACTCGTTTTTTTCGGTCAATTTTTTACCGCAGATATACTTTTTAGAGTTGTATAACCAGCCAAAAACTTAGCTGTCTATCTCTTATGGTTCTCGAGAAATTCGGGTTATATGATCAAATATAGACTGACTTTTTCTTTTAGAAATATGTAGAACGACTTTTTAAAAATTACTTTGTGAATAACTCGTGAAAGGCTCATCTTCTTTCGTTTAAATTTGTACTGAAATTTCATATCTTACAGTTGTATGACCAGTTAAAAGTTCAGCTTTGTATCTTTTTCTCTAATGGAGAATTTTACAAAATATGATGCAATTTAAAGGGCATTTTTCATTAAATTAACGTTTTTTATGGTACAATTACATTGAAGTAAGTCGTATCTCAGTTAATATGTAGTAAAGTGTTGGGAAACTTTTGCTGTGTAGCATAGGCACAGAGTGTAATAAAATGCACTGCTCAGAAATTATTTAGGTCTATTTTCAGTTTTTCTCACAAATCGTACCAAAAAGTTGTAAATCACTCATATATAGAAACAAAAAGTATAAGCATGATAGAAAAACAAAAAAATCAACGGTTAGAGGAGGAGGAAGACTCTTCTAATGCGTCAAAGGCTTTACTTCCTTATTGAATTTCTGGAGAATTAATTAAAAGGATGATGAAGAGATATGTGCAAAAATAGATAGAATAAAACAATCTACATGTGATTAGCAACAGCAACTACATCGTGTTTCACATTTTAATCTCACAGAGATTGCGCTAACAACATTTTATTTAAAAATTAAAATATTCATTATAGGAGAAACGGATTTAGTGAAAAAAAATGAGACAGAAGAAGTTGGATTATTATCAGGCACACATGTTATGGAAGGTAGTGGTCGAATGATTGTTGTTGGTGTTGGTCTTAATTCACAAGTCGGTAAAATTATGAGTTTACTTGGTGCAACAGGAGACGATTCTAAAAAGAAAAAAAAAGATAAAAGGAAAACGAAAAAATCTCCAAAATCTAAATCATTATCATCATCAAAAGTATATCCTGATAAATCGGAACAAAATGAAAATGAACATAATACTGACACTGTACACATAGAAAAGGAGAAAAATCAATCAACAAAAAAACATCCACGTATTCATAAATTATCACCATTAAAACAAAAAAAGGATAATGAACAAGAAATGAAACCAACGAAAAAAGAAAATAATAATAATAATAATGAACAAGAAAAGAAATCAAATAATGATGATAACCAAAAGGAAAAATCTATTGATAGTGATGATGAAGAACAAAAGAAACAATCGGAAGCAAATAAACAAAAACAAGTTAATAATCAACTAACAACAGCATCGCCTATGGAACAAAATACTTCGAATGACAATAAAAATAAATCCGAAGAGAAACAAGAAAATATTCAAAATGCTAAAGAAGATACTGAAAAGAAACCGACTGAATTAGCTGAAGCTGCCAAAAATGATGATAATGAAAAAGGTGAATCAAAGGCTACTAAACATAAATGTAAGTAAAACACACACAAAAAATAAATAATTTGAATTTAAAAAAATTATTTCAGCTGTTCTTCAAACAAAATTAACAAAATTAGCTCTTTATATTGGTTATATTGGTATGGCTGCTGCTTTTTTAACATTAGTTTGTTTAATTATTCGTTTCTGTATAACAAATTATGTTGTTAAAAAAAAAAAAGCTAAAGCAAGTGATGTTAGTTATTTTATTTCATTTCTGATTCAAGCTATTACCGTCGTTGTTGTTGCAGTACCAGAAGGTTTACTTCATTTATTCAACAACTTTTGATATAATAATATTTTTTTTGTATACATAGGTCTACCATTAGCTGTTACACTCGCTCTTGCCTATGCTGTTCGAGTTAGTCGAACAAACATAATTATTAAATTTGATTCTTATTCCATTTTATTTAAATAGAAAATGATGACAGATAACAATCTTGTCCGACATTTAGATGCTTGTGAAACAATGGGCAATGCATCAACAATATGTTCAGATAAAACGGGAACATTAACAACTAATCGAATGACAGTTGTACAATGTTATACTAGTGGTATGTCAATATTATGATCTTGGTCTATTTCGCAGTCGTTGACTGCGTTTTCCCAGATTATATTTTTTATTGATTATTAGTCATTCATATATATTTTGTATTTCTAAGGAAAACACTATGAACAAATACCAAAACATGAAGAAATGAATCAAGATTTATTAGGACTCCTTTTCGAATCTATAACTGTTAATACAAATTATACATCAAAAATAGAGGTAAGAATAATTATTTCAAAATTATTTATTAAAGTTTATTTTTAGGAACCAAAAGAAGATGGTGGTGGTTTACCAAAACAAATTGGTAATAAAACTGAATGTGCTTTACTTGATTTAGTACGACAATGGGGTGGATCCTATGATGAAATTCGTGAAAAAATTCCTCAAGATGATTTAGTTAAAGTATACACATTTAATTCTGCACGAAAAATGATGAGTACAATAATTAAGCGTGATGATGGCTATCGATTATATACAAAAGGTGCATCAGAAATGGTTTTAGCTAAGTACGAATTAATGAATAAATTATTTTATTTTATTTTATTTTTTTGATTAAAGATGTAAATCAATTATTGGTGAAGATAATAAATCAAAAGATGTAAATGATGATGAAAAAAATAAAATAACACATGATATTATTGAAAAAATGGCTAATGAGGGTTTAAGAACAATTTGTATTGCATATAAAGATCTTGGCAAAGAAACACAAAATTGGGATGATGAAGATAAATTTGTTAATGATTTAGCATGCATTGCTATTGTTGGAATTGAAGATCCTGTTCGTAAAGAAGTAAGTTTATTTGAATAAACTTTTTTTCAATCGAATTATACATATTGTTATTAGGTACCAGAAGCTATTGAAAAATGTCAAAAAGCTGGTGTTGTTGTTCGTATGGTAACAGGTGATAATCTAATAACAGCTCGTTCAATTGCAACAAAATGCGGTATAATCAAGCCAAATGATGATTTTCTTGTACTTGAAGGAAAAGACTTTAATAAACGTATTCGTGATTCATCAGGAAAGGTTAGAATAAATGAAAATTTCGAAGTCTTTTTTGTTTTTAAATATTTATTTTTAAATTTATATTTTGTTTAGGTTTCACAAGAGAAACTAGATGAGATATGGCCAAAATTACGTGTTTTAGCACGTTCATCACCACAAGATAAATATAATTTAGTTAATGGTATTGTAGAAAGTCGAGCAACACAACATCGAGAAGTGGTTGCTGTCACTGGGGATGGAACAAATGATGGACCAGCATTAAAACGTGCTGATGTTGGATTTGCTATGGTGACTTAAAATAATTAATAGATTATTTTTTAGATTTATTCGTATTCATTTCTCAAATACTATTTCATTCAATATTGAGAATACTTTTGAGTATACTTTTAGCGAAGAATTTCTGTATAACAAGTAAATATCAAAAGAGAAAAGTTGTAAGTATATTCTACAATCCAGTTGCATATAAATCTGTGTTGAATCCAAGGGAGAAACAGCACAGACTTCGGTCGTGAAGTCCCATGAAGTTTTGAAAGTCTTTTAAAGTCTTCTGAGGTCTCATGAAGTCTCTTGAAGTCTCATGAAGTCTCTTGAAGTCTCATGAAGTCTCATGAAGTCTTCTGAAGTCTTGAAGTCTTGAAGTCAGCTGTTTCCCCCTTGAGTTATAGTCTACAGCGTGTTAAAAAACAATTACGCACCCCTCTACAACTTAAAGTATCAATGATATCACAAATGTATTTTATACCGAATTAAAGCGCGTCAAAAACTGGATTTATTGGTATTAAATAGTAAAAGTTATGAAGACCTTTTGACGTCGAACTTAAAAAATTTTCAGAAATTTGATACTTTTTTGGTGTAGAAAAATAATGTACCAGTAATTCAAAAATGGAGTAAAACATTTTTCTTCGATATTTTTACATGGTTCAATAGAGCTTGTCGAGCTGTACAAAACTATATGTTTCAAAAATATTTTGAGTCATCTTTTTGAGATTAATAATTCAAAAAACTACTTGGAAAATCTCAAAAAATGTTCAAAAACTTCATTTTTTCCATACGGAAGAAAAACACTCGATTTTTCAATAAAATTTACTTTGTTCATTATTTTTGCTGTCGCAGACGTTTTGAAATGTGTTAATTCGGTGCCGCATGAAAAACTGCATCCAACGAACACATTTCAAAACGTCTGCGACAGCAAAAATAATGAACAAAGTAAATTTTATTGAAAAATCGAGTGTTTTTCTTCCGCATGGAAAAAATGAAGTTTTTGAACATTTTTTGAGATTTTCCAAGTAGTTTTTTGAATTATTAATCTCAAAAAGATGACTTAAAATATTTTTGAAACATATAGTTTTGTACAGCTCGACAAGCTCTATTGAACCATGTAAAAATATCGAAGAAAAATGTTTTACTCCATTTTTGAATTACTGGTACATTACTTTTCTACACCAAAAAAGTATCAAATTTCTGAAAATTTTTTAAGTTCGACATCAAAAGGTCTTCATAACTTTTACTATTTAATGCCAATAAATCCAGTTTTTGACGCGCTTTAATTCGGTATAAAATACATTTGTGATATCATTGATACTTTAAGTTGTAGAGGGGGACGTAATTGTTTTTTAACACTCTGTAGAGTGCGACTGTGCTTGGAACAGAGAGAAAATCAAGGAGAAAAAAGCGAGACTCCGTACATCGGAGTACAGGTGGAGTACAGTGGAGTGAAGCTTGAGTACAGCTGGAGTACGCGGAGTACGTACTCACTATACTCCACCTCTAATCCACTATACTCCAGTTGTACTTAAGTTTTACTCCACTGTGCTCCAACTAAACTCTCGCNNNNTACGAAACTTTGTTCAATTTCAACTTCCACAAAAAGTATGGCACGAAACCTCTTCTTTTTCAAAACCTCATAAAAGGATCACACCGAACTTTTTCCAGTGCTAAACCTACAAAAGGTTTCGTGGGTCCATATCGTACCTTTAGAGATACAGTAAAGTACCACCGAACCATAAAGGTTTCGTATGGTACCTTTATTTTTTCAGTGTAGGCGTGGCTTACGTGCAATGCCTCATAGGCATTCAAATGATTAAAAATTGAATATATTTTTTTATGCAATTCGTTGTTTTATTCGTCTTTCTTCATTTTATTAATGATGGCTTTATAGAAAGTCGAAAAGTCTAATACAACATTTCATTTTACACCATTGTTACTTTATTATTATGTATTAATTTTTGCCGAATTATTTCTTCTATAAATCAACACTTAAGCTGGCAAAAGCAAATTAATCATAGTTTACATAGTTTTGCTTAAATATTATACAGGATTGAAAATAATATTATTTCAGGGGGATACTGCCATAAGTTCAAATACAGTAATTAATGAATTTTATACCAAACGAAAGCGCATCAAAAATGGGGTTTACTGATACTAAAAAGTAAGAGTCATCAAAACTTCATTAATTTTATACTTTTTTGGCATAGAAAATTAAGGTGCCAGTTATTGAAAAATGAAATAAAACTTTTTTCTTGAATATTTTTATATTATTTGATAGAGCTTGTCGAGCTCTACAGAACTGTATATGTTTAAAAAATGAAGCCATTTTTCTGAAATAAATAACTCAAAAATCTTTTGAGGAAATCTTAAAAAAATGTTAAAAACTTACTTTTTTATATCGAAGAAAAATATTCGACTTTTATATCAAACATAGTTTTTTTCATCACATTTATAACCACAGACACTTCAGAATATATTGATTACACGCAATTTTTCACGGTATATCTGATGAGTACTTAGGGCATACCAAAAGTACGGGCAGTGACACTTTAATACTGTATATTAAGCTTCAAGAAATTTTCTTTCTATGTAGTCTGATAGAGAAAAGAATGCTCTATTTTTCTATGTTATTTGATCATACTTTAATTAATATCAGAATAATAAAATTTCGATAAGATCTGTTTCGTTACGATATGTGCTGCTTCTATTAATACTCATTTTTAAAAAAGACGAGTGAGTATTTTTTGAATAACTTTTCATAGAAACAAGATAGAGAACTGCGGTTTTCACCGTTAGGAAGAGGAGATGAAGACGCATCGAATCACACATTATAGGTTTTCCTGATCTGTTTCTTGTAAGGTTTTCAATTGACCTTTTTAAGAACAAATATATCTGGCAAGTTCTTTACAGTGAATTTTCAATTGCCAAGTGTAAATGCAACCCACTGATCGAAGATCTACAAAGTGCGGAAGGCTGAGATGAATAATATGCATTTTAGTCGGGCTTCTAATACGATTTTCTAGCAAAATTCGTGAAAAAGCTCACTCTTGGGGTTTTCCCTGTTTTCATGAATAAAACATTTTCCCGATACTTAGAAAATTGAACAAAAATACTTCAGAAATGAGTACTAGAAAAGCCTATAATATATGATTCGTTGCATCTTCATTTTCTCTTTCCAACGATGAGAACCGTAGTTCTCTATCTTGTTTGTATCAAAAGTTATTCAAAAAATACTTACTAGCATTCATGAAACCGTGACACATGTGAACAAAACAGATTTTATCAAAATTTTATTATTCTGATATTAATTAAAGTATGATCAAATAGCATAGAAAAATAGAGCTTTCTTTCTCTATCAGACTACATAGAAAGAAAATTTCTTGAAGCTTAATATACAGTATTAAAGTGTCACTGTCCGTACTTTTGGTATGCCCTAAGTATATTCAGAAGGGTCTATGGTTATAAATGTGATGAAAAAAACCATGCTTGATATAAAGGTCAAATATTTTTCTTCGATATACAAAAAAATTAGTTTTTAACATTTTTTAAGATTTCCTCAAAAGTTTTTTGGGTTTATTATTTCAGAAAAATGGCTTCATTTTTTTAAAAATCTATACCGATCTGTAGAGCTCGACGAGCTCTATCGAATCATGTAAAAAATATTCAAGAAAAAAGTTTGATTATATTTTTGAATAACTGGCATCTTAATTTTCTATGCCAAAAAAGTATAAAATTAATGAAGTTTTGATGACTCTTACGTTTTAGTACCACTAAACCCCATTTTTGATGCGCTTTCGTTTGGTATAAAAGTCATTAATTACTCTATTTGAAATTATAGCAGTATCCTCCTGAAATAATATTATTTCCAACCGTGTACATTGAAAAACCAATGGAGAACTTTCTTTTTACAGATAAATTACAGACAATTCAAGAATTTTCGATTATGTAAATAAATCAACGATATTACTATTATTTTAGTCAAGATCTTGAGAAAAGACATTTAGAATTATTTCTTTTTTCTAATCTTGACATTATACAATTTTTGCAACAGATCTTCGACACATACAAGTCTGACATAATCAAGAAATATAAAAACAAATGCTCGTTTAAAACTCTTGACAAGATCCTTGTTTTTTATTGATCCTAAAATCTTTTAAGATTTTGCTACTATGATGTTTCAATATGGGGTCTCATTGTGAAGAAAGAAATAACAAAAATAAAAACATATGATAGGTAAGACTGCTTAGCTATGCACATGTAGGTTTTTTCCTTCTCGTTATTCATGTGACTTCAATACTCAATAAACTGTATCCATAAAAAACAAACCATCTTGTGACTAATACAGCTATCTCTTTCCATTTTACTCAGATTGGAAGAATGTTTGGTATTTTCGGTCATGATCAACTGACGCAAACATCTGTCAAACATCAGACATATAGTTGGTAAAAATACCAATCATTACTAATTTTCATGTACAAAAATGATCACATCAAATTATGAAATTTCGTCTGTTTAAATCATACGATTAATAGTTTTGATCAATCATGTTGGAAAGAAAAGATTTTAATCAGTCGTAAAAATCGACATCGATGAATATATAAATACTCATACAAGCATATGCATTCGAATAAAGTAAGATTGTCTTTATTATTCTTATTATAGTCTCTTATCGGATTAAAATGTTTTTTTACTATCCGTACGGCTATTATGCTTATCCAATGGTAACACCATATGTGGCCATGTGGCCAACGATGTATTGGTCCATTTTTTAGTGTACTGAACTCGCAGTTCAACAGCACACTGGTCTACATCAATCAATGGCGATCTCAGTGTGTCATATTTATTTAATCAAGATGAACAATTATACTATCAATTATTTTTTCAATTTATTTTTTATATTATCGTATTTATTATTCATGAACTCATTTATTTAATATAATGACTATTACGGATCCGTATTTTTTAAATTTTTCAAGAAGAAATATCTTCTTGTATTTTGAACTGTTGTATAATGCATAATCAATATATTGATTCTAAACTATGTGCACATTTGTAAACTATTCTTTTTTCAGTTTTCGAAAGAAATAAAAGCAATATAAAGTTTATGTGAATTTTTTTACATTAATTTTATCGAATTTCATTAAGAAATCTTGCAGATTCAATTACTCTATAAATTGATATTTGAAACAGTTTCCATTACTGTCATCAACAAAGGCATTCATCACTTCTATCATTGTTTTCAAGAACTTAGAATATCAGTTCAAGATATGGTTTCCTTTTTCGATATTAATTCGATATTATTAAGTCATTGATTGCTCTTATTTTTTTCATTTTACAGTAAAGTTCAATATGCAAAATTGCATTCTTTCGTTTACTTGAACAAAAAAAAAGTAATCATTGCGATGATAACTTTATTTTCTTGAGTAGCATACATTTGATTATCATAGAAACAATCGTAAGACATAATAATAATACGTCATTATTACGAAAAAAAAAGTAATTATTTCTTTCTGTTTATGTATCAGTAAATGGCTTTTTCCCACTAATCAATGAATATTGACAAAGCTTTTGATCATACATTTTGTGTCAATTATTTGTTTTCGAATCGAATAAACAACAATGACACATGACTAAAGTTGTTTAACTAAAAAGATTTCTAGTAAAACATAACTGTAGGAAGCACTGGTTTTTGTTCTATTAAGGAATACATCTATTTCCTATACTTCTTTCTTGATATCGATATCAAAAGTAATCATTTTGTATCATACTGGTTTCGAAAAGAAAAAAAATAGGAATATATTTCTTCAAAACATCTGCTTTCTAATTTATTCGATATGATATTGTATTTTCTTACAAAAATCCATCTGAAAAAAGCAACATTTTGCAGACTTTAGTTTTGCTCAAACTTTAATAAATAGGCTGTGGGTGTGTCAGATGGTTCCCAACTTACCTGCACGCATATGATAACATTATTCAACCTGTGAATTGCAACTCATAGCGAAAAAAAGATTAAAAAAAACCAAAGAAAATATTCTTTTTATCTGATTCAATGTTATTTTCATTCATGATTATTCTAATTATTATTTGAATCTTGCGATGTATCATTAGTCATTATCATATTTGGTGATGGTAGTATATTAAATAATCTCTGAGTCAATTGTGATTCATTTGTCGGTGATATTTTCGATGTAATAGAGCAATTTGCAGGTTATATAGGTGCTTGTTGAGATTGTTGTTGTGCTCGTCGTTCTGTTTCTTGTTTAATCATTAATTGTTGAATATGCATGGGTAACCCAGGATTCAAACTCAATATATATGATAATAATATTTTCGGTATGTCACCAAAATCAACCATGATTTTTATAAACATTGTATCATCTCGTACAAATGAATTATTTTCTTCTTGAATCATTGCTAATGGAAAGAATTTCGGTATACCACTAGCAATATTCATTTCAGATTGTGATCTCTGAAAACTATTTGGTTTAATATCAGGTCGAAAGAAGTCGATAATATGTCGTAGTGCAGGAGTTTGATAATACAAACAAAATGTTACTTTATGATTGAATGGGAATTTACACATTACATCATTTGAACCACGCATTAGACCAAAACAATAATGACATGTGTGTACGTCGAGCATTACCATCACCGTTTAGATAAAATCGAGCTCCCCTTTTATAACCAGTTGGTGACGAATAAAATGAAGGTGAATATATTGATGTTTGTCGTTCTGATTGAGCGTCCACTAGAAACATGAATAAATCGATGAAAACATGTTTTTAAATTTTATCTGTTTCTGCCAATCTAGAGACTGTCACACAGCAGATTTTTTTGTCCTGTTTTACTTTTTTGCCACACCTTCTCTTACCATATCTTGTTGCAATAGGAAATTTTCTTCAGCTCTGTCTGAAAGCTTTGCTGTTTGTGAGATATCTGATAGAGTTTTGTCATTATTAGGTTCTCTAGTAATGATAAGTGCATGTTTGACAAGCCAAGTTAAATTCATTTATCATATACAAAACCTTGAGAAACACCATGAATACCAATAATTTTTTATTTATTAGAAATTGGTTTCAATGGCATAATCTTCATGCGATTAAAACCCGAGTTCCAATGTTTTTAGAATCCTATCTAATAATCAGATAAAAACAAGCTTGTCAACTCTAACTAATTGAAATTTTGTAATCGATTTTCATCAATCGATTAGTTTCGAAAACATTTGAAAATCAGATAAAAGCGAAGTTTCATTAGATGAAAATAGTGCCATTTAAATTGATTGTTATCATATTTCTTGACTCTTTTTTTAATCCTTTCCGACTTATGTTGATCTAAGTCACAATTCTCAGCTATACCAACTATAAAACTTGCTACTTTTCAGCAAAATAGAAATAGGTTTACTGTCTAATACATTGATGCAATGTCAATTCGAGCGAAGAGCACTGACGGTTTTTCGAACTGAGTTAGGCAAGTGCTTGTTTTCAACGATCCCATACTTTCAAGGATCTAATTGAATCAAGTCACTAGACATCGGTTAAAGTAATCATAACTTGCTACATAGTTTTTAACACAATTTCATCAGAGCAGAAAACTTTGCTCTACTCTACCTTCAAATCAAGGTAAAAGAGAACAGCTTCACCCTTCAGGACAGTCTTGTCCTGATCATGATCTCTATGTCAATGACACTAAAAAGGTTTAAATATATTCTTGCGAATAATTTAATCTGAGAAACAATAAAAAATTGCTGTTACTTATTATGGATAAAGATAGAACTATTATCAATGAAAATCCGATTTGTCTATTCGAGTAAAACAACGGTTATTTTTTCAAACCGAACTTACTCATTTTTTCATGAAGGTTTGTTATTTTCCATGTTAATGTTCCATCATAAGAGACGTATTGTATGTCATCAATTTTTTGTTTCACTGAAGCAACGTCCTGCTGAAGAATTTCTTGATTAGGTTTAACACCATCTAAAAAGGAGCTTTGTTTTAGAATACTCAATTTGATTGATGGAAAATCTTGTGTTAAAGACTCAATCGAACTTTGTAATCGAATTGATTCATTAAAAAGAGATTGTGTATCATCATTTAACGTTTGAATTCCATTTGCAAGAATATTTATTGTTTCATATATTTCTCGCATTTGTTTTGTGATATTTTCAATTGTAGTAGTAGTTATTGAAGTGGAAGTGTCTTGTTCGATATCAGTATCCATTCCTACTACTCGTTCTTCTTGTTTATTTATTCCTCTAGATGTTAACTGACGTATAAAATTCACTATTATTTTTTGGTGAGTGTCACTCAAATGATGCTTGCATAATTTAGTTCGACAAATCTAAATAAGTCACACTGTAATATTTATTTTTTGAGTTTAAAAAACTGACATATAAAAATAACGGGAATAAATTTGACTTTGAAAATTTAATCCTTAATATCTTATCTTAATGAAATGTAGAATTTATCAATAATTATCGTAGGTCTTGCTAAATAACAACAGAACAATGCATGTGATTTCGATCTGAATATTATTCAATCGATACGTAAACATTCCCTTTTTGTGAAACACGATCTGAAAGGAGTGTTGAAGTGTTTAGAGGTAGAAATTTGCCCCCCCCCCCCCCACAGACCGTGACAGACAGGTTTTTGGACCCATCACAGGCCGTGACAGAGCAACTGTAGTTCTAAAGCATCAGATAAAGGGTTACCTACAAATGTATCGCAAAGAAATGGAACAAAACGATTTCCATTTAACTAGTAACAATAGATCCATCGTGTTTCACATTTTTATTTCCCTAAGAGATTGCGCTAACAGCTTTTCTGTATATTGAAGTTGTTTTGTTTTTCAGATTTCAACTTATTGAATTTAAACAACCATAAACTTTAAGTGCACAAGGTACAGTGATTTTGGGACATTCTTTTTGTTTGTGTTCGTCAAGTTTAATCGTTGAATTAAGCTTTTCTCCACAAGATTCACATACCGGGTTTGGATGAATGTTTTCAAGATGTTTCTGAAATATTCATTCATCGTACGACAAAAACAAATCAAAAGATAATTTATAAATACACGAAATTAAAAAAGAACGCTCTCTAAAATAAGCAACTTTTATAATATGCATTAACATTATAATGAAAATAAGTGTCATAAATTATTGTTATTGTACCTGATAATCCTTATACAAATCGTTTCATGAACATAATGAACATGTAATTGGTAAAGAGTTCATATCATTTCTAAAACCTCAATCTGACATTATCTTTTGAGAAGAAGAAATGATGCCTCTTAAAAAGAAATATATTTCAAAAACTGACTTCATTTTTTGGTGTTATTTCATGACATGCTGCACATTTGATAATATCGCTTAATGCAAGAAATACAATTTTTAAATGAATTTTCATTATTTTTTAACATATACCCTTGAATATTTTCGATACAATTTTTACATTGACGATGACCATATAAAAGTTGAAAAGGTTCTCGAAAAATCTAAGTACATAATCGACAAATGTATAATTCATTGATATGTTCTACGTTTCCTGCATCATAACCAACCATTCTTGAACTATAATACAACGTGAAAACTGAATATCTTTAATAAATTTGATAAGTTTTATATACCTGTGTACCTCTTTTTGTATTCTATTTAACTAATTTTAGTTGCATATATTAAATATATGTTACTATCTGAATATGATAGAAGTTTTAATTAATAAACTAGTTCAACTAGGGTTTAACGCTACTTTCATCCTGTCACTGATCGATGTGTTAAACGTACCAATCAATTGTAAGGGTGTTATTAAACTGCAGATGATCCATCTATATGTTCAGTTTGACCTCAAACAAACTGAGCAAATTTGAAAAAGTGAATTAACAAATGCGATCGATGTTACTTGGTGGAAACAATACCAAAATTTTTTATTCACTTTTGAACCTTGTGTTACATTTGGAGTCCTCTATAGAAATATAACTGCGTATGATATTTATTCTACGACCCTTTTATAACAAAACCAAAAGTTAAAATTACGAGTTTCTTGAAAAATGCTTAACTAAAGTGTAAAAAAGATATGAACTTTGTGTTATCGTTGATGCAAGTATCAAGGATGATGCTCAATTACTTATTTGAAGACTATTTTCATAGTTGTTACATATATTCGAGACTTTCTTTTCGACCTTTTATCATGTTTTTTTATTGGTTCTATTACTTCTGTCCTTTTCATGTTTTTTTTTGCATTAAATACACCATTGATAAATTTTCCCTCTTTTATCTTAGACTGTAATTTTCTACCACAGATGTAACTCAGCTTTATCTTTCGAGGAAAAAATTCGATAACCACTTTAAGTTAAGGTGCGCATGTGCAGGGTGTGGGTGTGTGGGTGTGGATGTGGGTGTATGGATGTAGGTGCTGGGTGGGGTGGGGTGTGGGTGTGGGTGAGTGTAGATGTCGAAATGGGGTACATGAAGACTCATACCCACACCCACACCCAAGATAGGTCGTCTGCAAACACATGAGCAGAGTGTGCTCCAAAACATGAAATCAGATCACCATGAAAAAAATAATAGGTATGAGCTTAAGCTACTCCCTTGTGGTAGCCCGGAGAAAATATAGAACATGTTTGATCTTGTACCTCCAAAATCTACCCATAGCAGTCAAAAATAAGCAAATAACGCGTTATAACGAACGTTATAATATTTTCTTTTAACGCATTTTAACTTTTAACAAATGTCAGAATTTTCGCGTTTTAACGGTTGAATTAATGTTGATTTTAAACTCATTATACTGAGTGGAAACACGAGCGTTTAAAAGCGTTTATGAAGCAAATGCATTAAAACGCAAAAAACGGACACTTAATAAGTTTAAATGCGTTTACGAGAAAATTTCAACACTAGTGAATCGATGTCATTTAAACGTATACTTAGATTTCAGAGACGCGTTCCAACTAGGGATGGCAGTAGTTACTTTTGAAGTCTTTTTTGGTATTGAATGGTTTGTACAACAGTTTGCCGCATTTAATCAAATATTTTATTTGCTAAGTTGTAGAGCTTCACTTCAGCTATAAGTTTGCTCTCAAGGTCATTTTTCGATACTGTTCATGAACCGAGTTATGAGACGTAGATGAAGAATTTTTGACGTAAAAAGTAGTTACTTTTTTTCAGTAGTTACTTTTAAAAGTAACAATTTTTTTGTACAGTGCATAATTCAGTTTATGAACAATATCAAAAAATGACGTTGGGAGCAAAGTTATAGCTGAAGTCAAGATCTACAACTTAGCAAATAAAATATTTGATCAAATATATTAAACTATTGTGAAAACCATTGAACACCAAAAAGGACGTCAAAAGTAACTAAAAGTAAATATGCCACCCCTAGTTCCAACCAGTTTTTTAATGCTTTAATGTAGGTTCGATGAAAGAGACTTATACTTACGAAGCAGGCGATGTACCACTAGACTAAACTTACTTATTGCTACTAGTTTTAAATTTTCTACTTATAATTAACCAACCTTCAGTGCATACACGTGCACAGCTATTTATAGTAGAAGTTGATACATTTAAATAAAAAACGGTATATAGTGGATTTTAATATTTTTTTATGATTAAAAATCAATTACAATAGTACTAAATTGATCCAATTTTCATCAGAATATTGTTTAAATCTAAATCAATTTCTAAAAATCGATCCTTATTAATTTGCTAGATTTTTTTAGAGATTTTAATGAGATTATTGATCACATTATTTGATTTTTAATCTCAGGAAATTGATTAAAATTTGAAAATTAATTGTCATCTTTTTTTATTTCTCTTTTGGTCAATGAATAAATATTACATGCTATTAAATATTAAACCATTATATATTTGTCGAAGGTTGATTAAGCAGTATACTTACTACTCGTTTAGCGAGAAGTGCTGAAAAGCGATGAAAAAGTCGATTTTTTAATTTAAAACTCGAGAATAACGTGTTTAGTTATTTTTTAATTCGAAATCTGATCGAAATAGTGTACCTTTCATCGATTTTTAATCACAAAAATTAATAAAAATCAGTTTTTTCTAAATTTTTATCAAGGAATTCAGAATTCGAGTTCAAATAAAAACCTAATGTCGATATTCGATCAGCTCATTGCTACAAACTGTTCACAAAATAAAATTTCTATAATTAATCTTATTCATATCGATCTCCAATACATACAGCTATACTTAGTTGTGGATGTAGGTATCACGCAATAGCAACCTGACAATGATATCAACATTCCTAGCAGATACTTGGTTGATAAATGACCATGTTTATCGATGTAAACTTGTAGTCTATGTCCTCTGACATCGATCACTAATCGAGTTTATTCATTATAAATCTTTGATCAAAATGCTTGCCATTCTACCAGAACTTATGTTAAATTTCATTCGCTTCGTAACTTTGATTTTTTTGGGGTATCTCCATCGGACTGAGAGCACTTATCCGTGAAAATTTCAGAGTCATTTGCTTTACTTCCTCCGACAGAAATTTATTTCAATACTCGCTGATTTTTCAAATCATTTTTTTCTATTTTAATGCATTTAAACGAATGCCATGTTTATGTTAAAATGAATTCCTTTCTCTAATTTATAGAATACATACGTTAAAATGCGTTCACTGACCTAATATCTTCATTAAATCCCTGTTAACGCATTAAATGTAAGAAAGAAAACGTTCCACGCGCTTAATTCTAAGATTTTCCGAGTCAACGAGTTTTACAGTGTTGTTTTCTTCAATTCTTACCTTAAACGCATCAAAACAGCGTTTTTGCCGTTTATCTGTCTGCGTGGGTACGTACGCCCGCCTGTTCTCTAGCGACGAGGCCAAAAGTTTAAGCAAACCACATTGTATACCTAAACGATATAGTTTAATCAATAATGCTGCGTGCCACACTTTGTCATATACTTTCTGGTAGCCTACGTATAAAGCAAGTGTTAGTATGTTTGCTGCCATATTGTTGCTCACTTTCTGATAAATAGAGAGTACTCTGGTAAGAAGAAGACAGCCCGAACGAAATCCAGACTGTTCTGGTGGCACGAGCTGATTACTTTCTGCCCAATGACTTACCCTTCGCAGTATTACTTTTTCAAACAGTTTAGAATGCGTAGCAAGAAGAGATATGGGTGTGGGTGTGCATGCGGATGTGGATCTTATCGTCTTTACAACCACAACCACCCACCCACACCCCACACCCACACCCCTGTAGAACTTTCGAAAGGCAGCTCGTTAAGCCTATATATCTTCATTGTTTACCATTCAGACTTTGTACGACGCACTAGGATCTGTTCTACATAAATTTGTGCTGACGATTGATGCACAATTATTACTCTATCAATAGAGAAAAGTTTATCAAAAATGATAAAATATATCAATAAAAAGAGAACAGAAATATTNGTCTGATGATGATGAAAGAAAAGAAAGTATGTTTTGTTAAAAGAGTAAAATAAGATTTCTTCTAAATTAAAAGTAAACTAAAACAAGAATAAAATCGTTTTACGTATTAAGATACAAAGATTTCGAATACTGATGTTTTTTGTCTATTCATATGGTTTCACTGAAAGATGTTTTTATTGCGTAAAAGAATGAAAAAGCAAAAGTCAGACAAATGCCATTATTCAAAAAAAACGAAAGCATAGAATACATTTATTGAAGTTTAGAACGCGCACTCATCTAGAAATAATGAAGGTATTTATTTCCTTGTTAAGGACTAGCTTCTTATTTTACATTGATTTTAGACACGTATAATCCCAATATCATCGATTCGCGTTAATCATGACCAGAGAAAACCCGTTCGATTTGACTCAGTCAATGAAAAGAACCGATCTCGGAGGAGGAGGAGAAGGAGCAGAGGACTTTATGCTTTAGCATGCTGTTGTGCTTCTGAATGCTGTTGTACATCGACAAATGGTTTCACTACATTAGGTTTAGTTTTAGCAATTATTGGTATACTATTTCTCGTAACTGTCGCTATTATCATTCCACTTATTATTATTCTAAAATTTAATACGAGTAATAATTAATTAAAATTATCAGGAATTTTTATAACTGATAAATGATTTATAACTAACTATTTATAAAGCCTACTATTTTCTTTGAATTTAGGACTGAATAGTAATTCAACATCATTAATCGTGAATATTCCTAAACGTCTTGGTATTTATTATGGATGGCCATCAGTAGTTGATAGTGCTAATGGGAATTTAACTGCAGCTATTATCACGTTTAGTCAATTTGATTTAATTGTTTTTGGTGATAGATTATCTGAAAGTTCTCATGGCGATCATGTTAATACGCAAACAATTATTCAATCATTAAATAGCATTGGCAAATTAACTTTTGGTTATATTGACCTTGGAGTTACGACAAAAAACTTATCTATTTTACAAATGCAAACAACTGTTGATGATTGGGTAACTATGGGAATCCAAGGAATCTTCTGGGATGATGCTGGGTAAGGTGTTATTTTTTTTTCTAAATTTTTAAAACATAATAAATGATCTTGTTTAGTTATGATTTTAATGTAACTCGTTCTCGTCAAAATACAATGATCTCTTATTGTCATGCATTAAATTTACGGGTAATGATAAATGCATGGGATCCAGATGACGTTATGTCTGGAAGTTCAATGCTTTTAGATTCTCGTGATATTTATTTACTTGAATCATATTTAATATCGAATGGTACTTATCAAGATTTAGCAGCATGGAAAATAAAAGCGGATAAATGTTTATCATATTCGAATTTATATGGAATTTCAATGGCAACAGTTTCAACAAGTTCAACTCCAATACCATCATCATTTGGTTCCACTCAACAATTTAGTCAAGCATGGTTTGGAACTGCTATGTATAGTTTTCATTATTTTCAAGTTACAGACATTGAATACAGTGCCAACGATGCTATGTTATATGCATTTGAATATCCAATATCATCGTATGGAAATACTTGGCAAACAAATGATATACAAAATGATTCAAATATACATTATTACAGATCAACAGATACTCATACTTTACATATTTATGGAGATGGAGTTAATTATGGAAGTGGAAATTATAGTCTTTTATCTAATGGATAATAATTTTAACAGTTTTAGTGATCAAACATTTTTTTCAAACAATTTTATTTATTTAATCTTAATTCATTTTCATCATCTTCATGTTTTAATTATTAAAAATAAATGATATGAGAAAGTGTTTTGATTAGCGATCTTTATCTGATAAACCATGAAATTGTATTAATAAATAATACTCTACTTAACAATGGACGTACAACCTAAATCAGTTTACTTGATTCAAGACAAATGAAATGGACAATGAGAAAAGATCACATATTATTATAAAGATATATAAATTCAGTAGTACACAAGGAAAACTAATAACATAATAAATACAGAATGCCTAAAAATATTTATCGAGCTATGTAACACAAATAACGCTTGATGTCATGAATTGCTTGATCCGTGACTGAATTCCGCTGAACCATAATCTCTCATTGTTTGCTGAACTCTTCTTTTAAAAACTACCGCTGAAAACACGCACACATACAAAAAAGGTTTACTATATTGTCAGATAACAGCTTTATAAAAAGAATGAACTTTTGCTATTTTCTGTTGAGATTTTCTGAGTTGAACCGCAAAAAGTAGTTGGTCGTTGTCGTCCTAACGGACCACCATTTCCGATTGCTGGGTTTTACGTATGATTCAATCATACTTTATAAAGGGTGTGAGAGTTGATGAAAAGAAGACCAAAAGGCACACCCACATCCTATCTGATAATATAGATGACCTCTTTAGAGTAAAACGATGTTTAGTTAATCAAACAAATTGATAGAAAAGTAATTATGAATTCAGACATCTTCAACATATTAAAATTTCAGAGCACGTCTATCAAGTGTGAGAGGGGGAGGGGAGATAGTATCTGCTCAATACAAACCCAAACCCAAACCCAAAACTACATCCTTACCTTTCAACATAAAACTTCAACAATGATACGCTCTATATATAGATTTCGATTAGATGCGAGTTATACATAGCCTCTGATAGTTCATTGAAACCATTCGTTACTGTCTGTGATGGGTCCGAATCCTCTCTGTGTGAGAAGGAACAGGGGGGGGGGGGGGGGGACCAAAATTTTTGTCCTATATACTTCAACATTTCTTTCAGATCATGTTTCACAAAAAATATATCGACTAAATCTTGTAGCTTCTTTATCAGTACTATCAAAACTCTTAATTTTAACCCGTGTACAAAAAATCTAAAAAAATTGATTCTCCCTTTGACTTGGTGCTTATTTTTATTTGTGATTATTCTAATTATTATTTGGATCCTGCGTTCTATCATTACAATTGGGCAGATTATGTGATAATAGTATGTTAAATCATGTTTGGGATTATAGTGTTTCATTGCTTGTTGGTAATGTTAATGTTACAGAACGATTTCCAACTGATGTAGATGTTTGTTGAGTTTGTTGTTGTGCTCTTCGTTCAGCTTCTTTCTTAATCATTAATTGTTGAATATGCGTTGGTAATCCAGGATTGAGACTCAGTGCATACGGTAACAATGTTTTCGACATGTCTCCAAAATCAACCATAATTTTAATAAACATTCTATCATCTCGAACATATGGATTATTTTCTTGTTGAATCATTGCCAATGGAAAGAATTTAGGTATACCACTAGCAATATTCATTTCTGATCGTGGCCTTTGAAAGCTATTAGATTTAATATCAGGTCGAAATGAATCGATAATATGTCGTAGTTGAGTAGTTTGGTCAAACAAACAAAAAGTAACTTTGTAACTGAAGGGGAATTTTAATATTGAATCATTGGGACTACGAATCAGAACAAAAAATAATGACATATGTGTGCGACGAGTATTGCCATCACCATTAAGATAAAGTCGAGCTCGCATTTTGTACCCAGTCTGTGATGAATAGAATGGAGGTGAATAAATTGATGTTTGCCGTTCTGATTGTGCATCCACTAAAACGAATAAATAATTCGATGAAAACATGCTTCTAAATTTGATCTATTTCTGTCAATATAGAGATTGTGCTAAGATTATTTTTCTTTCTGCCCGGCTTTTTTGCACTGCGCTGTATTGCTATATATTTTCATAATAGAAATATTTTCCCTGCCTTTCTGTGAGAGCATTCCAATGTGTGAGATATCTGATAGATATTACTTAGGGTTCATTAGTTACATTTACGTCATTTGGTAATGATAACTATATATTTGACTAGCCCAGTTTAATTCAATCATCATACTAAAAAAAATGTTGGGAAGTGTCATGAAAATCAATATTTTTCTTTATTAAGGAATTATTTGAATGATACAATTATGATTCAATTAAAATTTGCTTTCTATGAGTTTCTTTCGAATCAATCTAATAGAGAAAAAGGGACTTATCATTTCCAATCGATTGACATATTTTAATCGATAGTAATCAATTGATTAGTTCCAAAAGATCTTGAAAATTAAATGTAATCGTAGTATAAGACTGAAAAGTAAATTTTAATTAGATGAAAATAGTGTTATTTAAATCGATTTGTATTACATTTTTCTTGCTAATTTTAGCAAAATAGAATTAGATTTATTGTCTGATACATCAGTCCAATGTACATGTAAGCGAAGATTAGTCATCGTTCTTCGAATAGACTTGTTGCATTAATAATAACTTTTTCATTGTAATTCAAATAACGTTTCATCATTGCAGAGAATTCTACCCTAGCCTGCTCTCAAATTAGAACAAAAATAAACAGCTTCACCCTGCAATACAGTCTTGCTCCTGATAAATATCTCTGTATCAATGACATAAAAAGATTGGATATTTTCAAATATATGGTTCTAAAAAACGATCAACTCTTCCATGGATTACTGTCGACTAATTTACAATCATTATTGACAAATGAACTGAAAATTTCTATTTCAAAGATACAAGATTGTTTTTGTTTTTCAAATTAAACATACTCAGTTTTTCACGAAAACTCATTATTTTCCAAATTAATGTTCCATTATAAGATACATATTGCATATCATCAATTTTTTGTTTCAATGATGCAGCATCTTGTTGAAGAATTTCTTGATTAGGTTTAACAACGTCTAAGAAAGAACTTTGTTCTTGAACACTCAATTTGAGCGATGAAAAGTCTTGTGTCAACAATTCAATTGAACTTTGTAATTGTATTGATTTACTGCAAAGATGTTGTGTATCATCATTTAATATTTGAATTCCACTTGCAAGAACATTTATTGTTTCATGAATTTCTTGCATTTGTGTACTGAAATTATTATTTGTAGTTGGTTGTCCAACATTAATGTCCATTCCTGACACTGATTCTTGTTGTTCAGTAACTTTTCTAGAAGTCAATCCGTGTACAATCTTAACTATTGCTTTCTGATGAATATCACTCAAATAATGCTCTGCTAATTGAACTCGACAAACCTAAACCAACCGTACATTAAGCTTCGTTTTATCAATTTTACGAGTTATTGTAGAAAAAATAATAGACAAAAAAAATAACTTTTCAAGTTTAAACCTCAATATTTTATCTTATTAAGATATGAAATTCATTGGTAACAATCGTTACTTTAGGAAACATTAGTAACTAAAGAACCCATTTAATTTGAGTCTAAATACTATTAGATCGAAATATGCTGATTCCTATTCTTTCTTTTGTATCTTGTAAATTCTTTTATTAGATAATTTCAACTTACTGCATCCAAGCAGTCATGTTCTTTAAGTGCACAAGGTACAGTTATTTTGGTACATTCTTTTTGCTTGTGTTCGTCTAGTCGAATCGTTGAATTGAATTTTTCTTCACAGAATTCACATGTTGGATTTGGATGAGTGTCTTTTAGATGTTCCTAAAATATTGATTTATCGTAGAATAAGAAGAAATGAAGTTTTAAATAAAGAAATAAAAACGTCTTTTAAGTATTTCATTATTTTGATTAACATTAGTGACGTAATGAAAATAACTTTTATTTAATATGGGTATTTTACCTCATAATCCTTATATAAGCCATTCCATAAACATAATGAACATGAAATTGATAATGATTTCATATCATTTCTAAAACCTCGATCAGGAATAACCTTTAAAAAGCAAAGAATTAAGTCTAAAATTGAAATGAAGTTCAAAAATTGACCTCGCTTGTTGGTGTTTCTTCATTGCATTCTACACATCTGATTATTTCCCTTGATAAACAAAGTAAAACGCTGAATTGAAATTAGCTATTAATTCATATATACCAGCAATATTTTCTATACAAGTTTTACATTGACGATGACCGCAAAAAAGTTGAAACGGTTCTCGAAAAATAAAACCACACGATCGGCAAATATACAATCGATCGATAGTATTCCTGTCTCTTGCGTTAAAACCAAGCATTCTTGAACAATACTATAATATAAAAACTACGAATTTTTCAAAAAATTTGATGAAAAAGCACATACTTATATACTTCTTTTTGTATTCGTCTCAATTTCTTGTACATATACCGAATATGTGTTGCTATCTAAAAATAATATAAGATTTTCTTTTTAAATTGGTATAACTACAGTTC